GAGCATACTAGTGACCATGGTAAACATTTCGGCAATTTTTATTTCCGGACGAAAAAAGTTAAAAAAAATTCCAAAATAAAAGTCCAATATCCACGTTTTTTTAGAATTTTTCGAGGTTTCGGGGCCGGAACGAAAAGTCTTGAAATTTTAGGGAATACTTATCGGGGTCATATATTGTCGTTTGGAACCATATATGATCATTATTTGTTGTCATAAATGTACGTGATAGGCTTGAATTAATGAAATCAATGGAAGTTGTAAACCGATAAATTAGCCATTTAAATGCAAATTGGATGGTTCCACCCATCCAATTGGCCTCCCGAAGGCTATTAGGGGCCATAGTAAACATTTCGACAATTTTAATTTCCGGACGTAAAAAAAAAAATCAAAATATTTCAAATTTAAAGTATAAGATCCATGCCTGTTGAGAAATTTTGGAGATTTCGAGGCCCGGTGTCGAAAAGTCTTGAAATTTTAGGATTACGTCTCGGGCTCATATAATGCCGTTTGGAACCATATATGATCATTATATGTTTTCATATATGTTCGTGGTAAGCTTGAGTTAATGAAATCGATGCAAATTGTAAACCGGTAAATAGGCCGTTTTAAGGCAAATTGGATGGTTCCACCCACACAATTGGACTCCCGGAGGGTATTAGGGACCATGGAAAATATTTCGGCACTTTTTATTTACTGGAGAAAAAAGGTCAAAAATTCAAAAATTTAAAGGCTGATCATTTTTTAGAAAATTCAAAAATCCACGCTTTTTTAGAAATTTCGGAGTCTTTGAGCCCGATCTCTAAAAGTCTTGAAATTCTAGGGAATACATCTCAGGGTCATCATATAATGTCGTTCGGAACCATATGTGATCATTTTTTGTTGTCATAAATGTTCGTTGTAGGCATGAGTTAATGAAATTGATGCAAGTTGTAAACCTATAAATTGGTCGTTTAAAGGCAAATTGGATGCCTCCACTCACCCAATTGGACCCCCGGAGGGTATTAGGAACCATGGTAACCATTTCGGCAATTTATATTTCCAAACGAAAAAAAAGTCAAAAAATTCCTAAATTGAAAACTAATATTTACGCTTTTTGAGAAATTTCGAAGGTTCCGGGAACTAGTGTCGAAAAGAAATGAGATTTTTTTAGATACATCTCGGGGTCATATAATGACGTTTGAAACCATAAATGACCATTATATGTGGCCATAAATGTTCGTGGTAGGCTTGAGTTAATGAAAACAGTGCAAGTTGTAAACCGTTAATTTGGCCGTTTAAATGCAAATTGGATGGTTCCACCTATCTAATTGGACTACCAGGGGGTATTAGGAACCATGGTAAACATTTTGGCAATTTTATTTCCAGGCGAAAAAAGTAAAAAAAATCCAAAATTAAAGGCTAATATCCACGTTTTTTGAGGAATTTTTGAGGTTTCAAAACACGATGTCGAAAAACTATGAGATTATAGGGGAAACATCTCGGGGTCATATACTACTTTTTTAAACCATAAATGAACATTATATGTTGTCATAAATGTTCGCGATAGACTTAAGTTAATGAAATCGGTGCAAGTTGTAAACCGGTAAATTCACCATTTAAAGGCAAATTGGATTGTTCCACCAACCTAATTGAACTTCCGCAAGGTATTAGGGACCATGGTAAATATTTCGGCAATTTTTATTTTCGGGTGAAAAAAAGTTAAAAAATTCCAAAATTGAATACTAATATCCACGCATTTTGCGAAATTTTTAAATTTAAGGGAATACATCTTGGTGTCATATAATGCCGTTTGAAACCATATATTATTATTATATGTTGTCATAAATGTTCGTGATAGGCTTGAATAAATGAAATCAGTGCAAGTTCTATATCGGTAAACTTGTTGTTTAAAGGCAAATTGGATGGTTCCACCCACCCAATGGAACTCCCGGAGGGTATTAGGGACCATCGTAAATATTTCGTCAATTTCTATTTTTGGGCCAAAAAAAGTAAAAAATTTCCAAAATTAAAGGCTAATATCCACGCTTTTTGAGAAACTTTGGAGTTTTCGGGTCCCGCCGTCGAAAAGCCTTAAGATTTTAGGGGATATATCTCGGGGACATATAATACCGTTTGGAACTATATATGATCATTATATGTTGTCATAAATGTTCGTGGTAGGCTTAAATAAATGAAATCGGTGCAATTTGTAAATCGGTATATTAGTCGTTTATAGGCAAATTGGATAGTTCCACCTACCCAGTTGGACTCCGGAAGGTAGTATGTACCATGGAAAACATTTTGGTAAATTTTATTTCCGGGCGAAAAAAAGTTAAAAAATTCAAAAATTGAAGGCAAATATCTACGTTTTTGAGAAATTTGGAGTCTTCAGGGACCCGGTGTCTAAAAGTCTCTAAATTCTGGGGAATACATCTCGGGATCATATAATGTCGTTTGATACCATAAATGATCATTATATGTTGTCATAAATGTTTGTGGTAGGTTTGGGATAATGAAATCAATGCAAGTTGTAAACAAGTAAATTGGTCGTTTAAAGGTAAATTGGATGGTTCCACCCACCCAATTGGAGTCTCGGAGGGTATAAGGGACCATGGTAACATTTCGACAATTTTTATTTCCGAGGAGATAAAAGTCAAAAATTTCCAAAATTGAAGGCTAATATCCACGCTTTTTGAGAAATTTGGAGTCTTCGGGGCCCGGTGTCTAAAAGTCTCTAAATTCTGGGAAAACATCTCGGGATATAATGTCGTTTGGAACCATAAATGATCATTATATATTGTCATAAATGTTCGTGGTAGGCTTGGGATAATGAAATCGGTGCAAGTTGTAAACTAGTAAATTGGTCGTTAAAAGGAAAATTGAATGGTTCCACCCACCCAATTGGAGTCTCGGAGGGTATAAAGGACCATGGTAAACATTTCGGCAATTTTTATTTTTGAGGGGATAAAAGTCAAAAAAATTCCAAAATTAAAGGCTAATATTCACGCTTTTTGAGAAATTTTGGAGGTTTCGGGGCCCGATGTCGAAAAGGCTTGAGATTTTAGGAGATACATCCTGGGGTTATATAATGTCGTTTGGACTTTGGAACCATATATGATAATTATATGTTTTCATAAATGTTCGTGGTAGGCTTGAATTAATGAAATCTATGCAAGTTGTAAATCGATAAATTGATCGTTTAAAGACAAATTGGATGGTTCAACCCACCGAATTGGATTCCCGGAGGTTATTAGGGACCATGATAAACATTTCGGCAATTTTTATTTCCAGGCGAAAAAAAGTAAAATATGAAAATTCATGCTTTTTGAAAATTTTGGGATGTTTTTGAGGCTCGGGGTCGAAAAGTTTTGAGATTTTAGGGGATATATCTCCGGGTCATATAATGCCGTTTGGAACCATATATGATCATTATATGTTGTCTTAAATAATCGTAGTAGACTTGAGTTAATGAAATTCATGCAAGTTGTAAACCAGTATTTAAATTGGTCGTTTAAAGGCAAATTGGATGGTTCCACCCACCCAATTAGACTATCAGAGGGTATTAGGGACCATGAAAAAAGTCAAAAAATTCCAAAACTGAAGACTAATATCCACACTTTTGAGGAATTTTGGAGGTTTCGGGGCCCGGTGTAGAAAAGTATTAATATTTTAGGGGATACATCTCGGGGTCATATAATGCCGTTTGGAACCATATATGATCATTATATGTTGTCATAAATGTTCGTAGTAGGCTTGAGTTAATTAAATTGGTGCAATTTGTAAACCGGTAAATTGGTCATTTAAAGAAAAATTGGATAGTTCCACCCACCCAATTGGTCTCCTAGAGGGTATTAGGGACTATGGTAAACATTTCGACAATTTTTATTTCCGAGCAAAAAAAAAAAAAATTCCAAAATTGAAGGCTAATATGATGCTTTTTGAGAAATTTCGAAGGTTTCAAGGCTAGTGTCGAAAAGAAATGAAATTTTAGGGGAACGCGCCGGGTTGAATTCAGCTGAGGTTAGTAACAAGTCGGGTTAAATTCGGATTTTGACGGGTTAAAACTAGTTTGGGTCAATTTCAGTTCAAATCGGGTTTTGTTTCAGGTCAATAATTTACGGGTTACATTCGGTCGGGTCATCTCTAGGTCAGTTCATGTTCGGGTTCGGGTCTCACATACTCAGGTCAACTCAAGTCTAGGGTTGGTTTATGTCGGGTTTTGGTCACCATTTTTTCAAGTTTAGGTTGGTTAATAATCGGATTTGAGTCGGTATTTCAGGTCGGGTTAACTTTTGATAGCTCTAGTCTCATGCCTAGTTTGACTCATCTATTAATTAATATTAAAACAAAACGTGTTGATGTCATCAATTTCTTAAAGTGTCCTACATGTCAAGATATCATTAAAAAATTTCCCTCCAAATTTACTTATGATGTCATCAATTTATTTATTTATTTTATTTTATTTGCCCTTTCCTTTTACTTGCTAGATTTTAGGATTAAGTGGGTTTAAAACTAAAAATACGAAAGTTGACTTTGGCATCAATATTGTTGTATACTCACTAGTTTTTTGAATCTTTTCAATATACAACAATATAAGATATTGATAGCTAAAAATATACATTTTTTAAGCTTCTACTCTAAACATATAAGCTCAATAGATGATGAACAATTAAATATATTTTGTCTAACCATCATTTTAGAAAATTTTATATAACATTGTAGTAAATATTATAATGCAACAATAAATAATGAACATTTTTAAAAAAAAGGATAATGTACATGTTTTTTTTTAAAAATATTTATATACCATTTTTTTAAAAGCAAGCCAAGTTATTTTAAAATGATATCAACAACTAAATATATAAAAGAAAAATGAAAAATTTACTTATCATGCAACGCACGGGTACTATACTAGTAAAATTATAATCAGAGTTGTAAAAAAAAAAGAAGAAAAAAAAAAAAAAAAAAAACAAAACAGATATACTATTCTAAGAATTATAAAAACAGAACTGGTCTCATACCTGGACATTGTCATAGAGTTCAAACAAAGGCACGGCAAGAAGTTTCAAGTTTTTCGGCACAGCAAAGTACTCTCTCTCGGATAGATGAACAACGTAGAGTTTTTTGCACTCCTGCAGTACAGATATATGAATGCCAAAATGTTCAAAGAGCAAACCAGGATAACCTAAAATTGGTTCTCTTGCAGTTGACAACATTACAAAAATTAACCTGAGAAGAGATTTACCTTTGGTTTTGTAATATGAGGAGGGCAGTAGGGATACATAATAGTTTCAAAGTTTGGCCGCCACCAAACACCCACACACTCCCCTATCTGAAGTAGCCAAAATAAAAACCAATATTGAGCAGTTAAGACCAAAAAGAGAAAATAAAAACACTTTCCAGAACAAGTACAAAGGAATAACACCACCACCACCCCTCCCCCCACCCCAAAAAAAAAAATAAAAAAATAAAAATAAAAAAGCCACTACCTGCCATTCTGGATGTAGAGAAGGAGAGTTTGCAGCAAGCTTGCTGGATAATTTTCTTTTCAGACCCTCAATCTCTGCAACATCAGACATTATACTTCAAATCCCCAACAGAAATAAAGCGCAAGGCAAATGACATGCTCTTTTTTCATCGGGGGTGAGGGGTGGGGAGGGGGACATACCATTCTCGCCTGGCTTCAACCGACCACCAGGAAGTTTGCAGAACGTGTTTCCAATTTGGAGAAGAAGTATGTGTGGATGATTGTGCTCCTGTACCTGCAATACCAAACAACTTAATGCCAAAATGAACAAGCTATACAGTTTATTCTCGCATCCTTCTAATGGTTCTCCAAATTAATTTAGCAGGAAGATAACTTCAGAAGAAAAAGCAAAGTGATTCATTCCAATCATGCTTCACGCCAATTGATACATTTACTCAAAGAATAAAATATTATTGCTTTAACATTCATACCTGTAAACTTAATTAGTTTACATAAAAGCATGCAAACAAAAAAAGAACACAAGCCCTTGTAGACTGTACAAAAGATTCCCCCCCCCCAACACACCCAACAGTCTGAACTCTGAACCCTCATAGCTTAGGAAGTAATGATCTGAACAACACATTGATACCCAATGCAACAATTAATCGTAAAAAGGTGTTAATCAACATCAAACTTTGATTCCTATAGATGTATGACTGTAAAGGGTGATTAAGTGATTTGACCTAAGGCAAACATCAATTGCTTTCATCACTAGAGTTCAAGAATTTACATAGCACATTCATTGTGCCCCATCAATCCAATAATGGAGAGAGAGGGAATTCGGAGCAAAAAGGAGTTTGGAATCATACCAGTAGAATTGCTTCCACACTTGTTCTCATACCCTCCTTCATGTAACTACAAGAAAAGGAGAAAAACAGCAAAATAATCAGGTCCACCAACAAATAACAACATCACAAACCTGAAATCTAAAGTTTCTACAAATAATCCAATTCACAATTCTGAATTCCAAGCCCTAACAATGTATCTAAATCTCCCAAACTTATCAATCCTTTGCAATGTACATACAGAAAAAACCCAATTCAAACCCCAGAAAAATACCGCCATTTTTTAACCAAATCAACAAAACAAAAACAAGAAATTGAAGAAACCCCGACAAAATTACTGCAATTTCACAGATGGGTCAAGGTTTATGCAGGGTTTTGAAACTGAAATTTAAAATTACAACAAAAAATAAAACCCAAAAAAAAGAGGAGAAAGAACACAAACTTGATTTTCATGCGAGCAAGGCGATCAGCAACAGAAGTATCTTTCTCCATCTTAGGCTCTTTGGTGCCGAAAGTGTAGCTTGATAAAGGGTATGTGTTTACAACCGGAACTGGGTTCAACATTTTCTCTCTCTTTCTGTAATTCAAGCTACCTCTTTCGCACAATTTCCCTTGATTTTTCTCCCTGATTTTCAGAGAGAAATCGAGTTTTTTTAGAGAAGAGAATGAGGGGGAAAGTAGTAAATCATGCAAGATTTGAGGGAAAAAAAGGGTTAATAGTAAAATTGAAAGAAACCCAGAGTTTATGGTGGTTTTAAAAAAAGAAATGGGTGCTGGAAGGCCCTCGCAAATTTGGGAGTTGTTACCAAACCTTATAGGCTGCTTCTGGACCAAATATAAATGCATATTAGAAGAGTCTTGGACCCTAATTTGAATAGTAATTTTTTGTTTATGGATAAAGAGATTAGTGCATGTATGGGAATATGGGATGATATGTGACAAGGGCCGATATGCTCCAAAAAGCAGACATATCAGCCATATTGGCTTTTCGATACTTGGTACGCGGCAATTTTATCATTGACACTTGGCGAGAAAAGTCTTGCATGCCTTATAGCCACCTGTCATGAAATTTATTATAAATAATAGATTAAGCTTCACTAAATGATAAGCATTTATTACACACTCTCTCTCTTTCTCCCAACCTTCTCTCTCTTACTTACCTTCTCTCTCTTACTTACCTTCTCTCAAACACATTCTAACTTTACCATCGGAGTGGTTATCCCCGGATCACCCCGGGGCTAGCTAACTTCTGTTCATTGTGTAGGTTCCCAGCTTGCCGATTGGAGTATCAGGATCTCGGGTTCGGATTCTCGGGCTATCGGACCCAGACAGAAACAGTGCAATAATTAATTACGAAACAAATTTATTTTTTAGTACATAGGGGTATTTTGAGAGTAAGTTTTCCCAAAAATATTCGTTTTCAGTCATAATTTTTTTAAAAAAAAAAATCGGTTTTAAAAGCACTAATCTAGCAAGGTGATGGACAACAATATTATTTTCCCTACTTGCAATTTTTACGGGGTAAAAGCTAGTCACACTATTACTCCATATGTTACCTGGTCTCATGCTCTCATGTCAATAGTTGATAATGGTTTTTTTTTCCATATATTTATGTAAACTAGGCGAAACCTGTAAAATGATTTACCATCCTAGTAACTTATTAAATGAACTCGTGTTTTCATTTTTTTTTTTAAAAAAAAAACCATATTTGTTTTCATTTCATCAAAGAGAAATTACTTCAAACAAAAGTTATTAAGCTCCCACAAAGTTTAAATAAAAGCTCATAGTTTATTTAAGTTCAGGTAAATGAAAATCAGCTTTTAAAAATCTTAACAATATGTTAATTTGATTTGAAGCCCTACACGACCGAGTTGGAGACCTAGGCCATATTGCTATCACAAACTTTTAAATAAAACGGATGTTCAGTAAATTACTGAACATCCATTATAAAGTGACAATAAAATGTGCAAAAGTTACACTTAAACGCACAAAAGTTAGCCTGACATATATAAGTGTTATTTATGCTTCATTGATAAATTTGACAAAAGTGACACTAAATTTGACAAAAGTGACACTAAGGGTTTGTTCCGATTGACTGAACTCGGTTGAACTGAACTGAACTGAGCTAAACTGAACTGAACTGAACTTATTAATTAGTGATTTTTAACTACGGATTAGTGATCTTTGATTATTTATTGATTATTTATTACTATACATATGTGTATATACAAATGTACATATTATTATTATTAATAATAATATTATTATTATTATTAATACTATTATTATTATTATTATTAATTATTGATTATTATTATTATTATTTATTGATTATTATTATTATTATTATTATTATTGTTATTGTTATTATTATTATTATTATTATTATTATTATTATTTATTGATGATTATTATTAGTATTATTATTTCAATTATTATTGTTATTATTATTATTATTATTTATTGATTATTGATTATTATTATTATTATTATTATTTACTTATTATTATTATTATTATTGTTGTTATTATTATTATTATTATTATTATTATTGTTGTTGTTGTTGTTGTTGTAATAAGAGCTTAAAAGAATGAAATTTGGCTTTATATCATTAGCAATATCATTAGACGTAAATTAAGAGATGAACTGAACTGAACTGAACTGAATTTCAACGGAAGAGAACAGGCCCTAAATCTGACAAAAGTGTACCCGATGTACAGTAAATTACTGAAAACCGGGTGTATACAAAAGTTTTCCTATTGCTATAGCCATACGGCCATACGGTGATACGGCCCATGTAAAAGGGACAGTAGATAACATTGTACAAAGCCAGCCCTTCCTACTCTAAGATGCAATTTCACTTCCATTTTATGGCGAAACGACGTTAGACTGGTAAACAAGAGTACACTAACATCAGCAGAAATGCGCGCCAAATAAGCTTCAACAACCAACACCGTCAAAAATTAAACCCCACTATTTTTCTCTGGTAATCTCTGCTACCAAAAAAAATCCCAAATTCCGCCATTAAAATGGAGAAGAAGCAGAAGAAACAACAGGTAATTTCCCGCTTTTTTGCCCCTAAACCCAAACAAACCCCTTCTTCTCCTTCTTCAAACAACGATAAACCCTCTTCTTCTTCTTCTCCTTCCCCTAAAATCACTTCCACCGTTTCATTCTCCCCTGCCAAACGCCTTAAATCCTCTGAATTTAGTCATTCTGTTAAAAAACCCAAGCTTTCCCCTCATACTCAGAATCCAATTCCGTCTTTTCCAGATTCTAATCCTGCCCTTCATCAGAAATTCCTCCAGAAGCTTTTAGAACCTTCTGATGATGTTCTTGAAGCTTCCATGAAAAAACCCCAACCCCATTTGAAGGAACAACAAACTAGTAAACCTAAGTATACCCCACTTGAATTACAAGTAGTGGAGTTGAAGAATAAATACCCAGATATATTGTTGATGATTGAAGTTGGTTATAAGTTTAGGTTTTTTGGTAAAGATGCTGAAATTGCTGCTAGGGTTTTAAGGATTTATGCTCATGTAGATCATAATTTTTTGACTGCTAGTATTCCTACATTTAGATTGAATGTTCATGTTAGGAGGCTTGTTAGTGAAGGATATAAGGTGGGTGTTGTTAAACAGACTGAAACCGCGTCGATTAAGGCTCATGGGTCGAACCGTGCTGGCCCGTTTACTCGTGGGTTATCGGCATTATACACTAAGGCCACCATCGATGCGGCCGAGGACTTGGGAGGTGGTGAAGAGGGGTGTGGGTCATTGAATAATTACTTGTTTTGTGTGGTTGAGAGGGATGTATTAGTGGAGAATGTGGATTGTGGTATTGAGGGTGGATTTGAGGTGAAAATTGGGGTTGTTGCTGTTGAAACATCAACTGGGGATGTTGTTTATGGGGAATTTAATGATAATTTTATGAGGGCTGGTCTTGAATCCATCCTTTTGAGTTTGTCTCCAGCTGAGTTGCTTCTTGGGGAGCCTCTTTCGAAACGAACACAAAAGGTGATTGGCTACTTCTCCTCCTTGTTTGCTTCAGGCACCTGATTTTGTTTGATTTTATGTGATAGTTTTAGCATTGTTCTTGTGATTTTCTTGTATGTTAAGATAGATAATTGATTGCTTAAATTATTGAGAATCTATCAATGCAGTTCATTTATTCCTTACTAGTATCTATTGTACTTGTAAGGACACATTCTGGAATTGGAAAATTGAATATGAAGAAATTTGTCTTTGGTGAGAAATCACGTTTTATCATCTATATGACTTGTCTATTAACTAAAATCAGCATGTACTTGATCCCAATACTAGGATAGGTTGATAATGGAAGAACGAATACTGTTCAAAACTTTTATTGTTTGTCATAGACATAATTTATGTGCAATGTATGTCAAGCACTTTTGATTGGATGATTTATTGGTTTTCCTTATTTCTTTGACTTTTATCTCCATAGCTATTATTGACATATGCCGGCCCTGCATCTAATGTGCGCGTGGAGCGTGCCTCATGTGATTGCTTCAAAGATGGTGGTGCACTGGCTGAATTGATGTCTTTGTTTGAGAACACTAGCGAAGGTGGTTTTGAGCATTTAGAAGATAATCATGGAGAAGTTGCTGGTGAAAGAAATGGACCAGCAATCAAGGTATCTTGCTGCTATTCTTGTCTTCAATGACCAAACTTTTTATATATCTATTTTGAATATTAGCTGCTCTGGCTGGTAATGGTATGAGTATGAGTATATGACTGTATGAGCTTTCATGAATTGAATTTTTTTCAATCTCTGATAGTTGATGGAAGGTTAGCTGTTACGAGTTCTTCACGTATGATATATATACTTATATTAGTACTGGTAACTTGTTAACTCCAGTGAAATGATGGAGTAAAGTTTTTTCTTTCTAACTTTTTCTTTCTCATTCTGTACATCACCCCTCTCGTTCTCAGCCTCCCTTTGATATTCTCCTCATTAATTTATCAGTTTCTGGAATTTGACCTTGTCTTATAGGGGATCATGGGAATGCCAGCATTGACTCTGCAGGCTTTGGCTGTTGCTGTGCGACATCTGAAACAATTTGGTCTGGAGAGGATTTTGTCTCTTGGGGCTTCATTTCGGCCATACACCAGCAATAGTGAGATGAATCTCTCAGCTAACACACTTCAACAACTAGAGGTAAGTTGCAACTTTGATATGTCTTCTTACTCTTCCAATATTTATGTGTGGGGCTTCTCTCCTTAATCCTCTCTATGCAGAATCAGTAACCTAAAATCATGAAAAATAAATAAAGAGCTGAGCAAATAAAAATGGTATTAAGGGGGAAAAAAATGGTATTGTACTCCGTATAATTTATGCTTGCAAAAATATGAATGAAGTTAGGGACTTCTGTTGCTAATTAGAATTGGAATCGGGAGCAGGATAAGGGTTGAGGAGATTGGCTAGTGGATTAATATTTTGGTTTAGGATTAAAGCTCCAATACCCTATGAGGTAGTAGTGTTTTGTTATAGAATATTAAACAAATGATCCACAAGTAATAAGTATTAGCTTCATCAATTAATTATTTGATTTTTAAATATCTTATTTCCTTCCCACTAACTACTGTTCTTATAAAATTTTCCATTTTGCCTTTCAAGGTTTTGAAGAACAGCAGCAATGGGTCAGACTCTGGTTCGTTGCTGCAGACTATGAATCATACTCTTACAATATTTGGCCAAAGGCTTCTAAGGCATTGGGTATGAGTAGAACTGAACTGTAGCTTTCAAGTAGTTTGAATTTTATCTTTGATCTGCAATTTTCATTCCCCTGTCCAGGTAACTCATCCGTTATGTGACAGAAATATGATTGCTGCCCGACTTGATGCTGTTGTTGAGATTTCAGAATATATGGGTGGCTGTAACACTTCTGTTGGATACCAGCATCTTGGCGAGGGCGACTCTGATGCTGCAGCTGCTCCAAGTGAGATAAATTTTGTGATATCTTCAGTTTTGACTACATTGGGACAGTCCCCTGATGTGCAACGTGGGATAACAAGAATTTTTCATAAGACAGCCACCCCATCTGAGGTGATGAAGTTTTAATCCTTCTTGCTTCTTATTGAAAGCATTTGAAGATATTTGTTGAATCCATTTGATTAAAAGTATACTGTATAAACTAGGGTTTGGTGCAACTCTGCTTTATTCTGAGCAATTGGCTCATAGAGTTTATATCATTTCGTCCTGGGTTTGTGGTCACTTTCAACTTATTATCTTGTTTCAATAACATATATTACTGAATGCTGAATTGTGCAGTTCATTGCAGTTGTTCATGCTGTTTTACTAGCTGCAAAGCAACTTCAACAACTTGAAGTTGTAACAGTTCAATCTGCATTGCTGAGAAACTTGATTCAGACTGCTGCTTCATCCAGCTTGATAAGCTGTTCTGCCAAGTTTATGTCATCCTTGAATAAAGAGGCAGCTGAGAAGGGGGACCTTTTGAATCTCATTTGCATTGTTGATGGCCAGTTTTCTGAGGTTTGTAGCAAGGACCCATCATCAGCTTCTTCGAGCAAATTGAAGTCCCTGATTTTTGTCCTTGTTTATAATATCATGCAGGTTGCCGAAGCCAGAAAGAAGGTAGAGGTGGCTAATGAGAAGTTGGAATCCCTTATCAATATGTATCGCAGGCAGCTTAGGATGCATACCTTGGATTTTATAACTGTGTCTGGAACAACTCATCTGATAGAGGTTTGCCTGATGGCATCTATTTATGCCATTTGCTGTATTTGTACTAATGTTGTAGTAATTCTAAAGCTCTTCATTTACCTAATAAACAAATTGTATTTGCAGCTGCCTTCAGAGACTAGGGTACCTTCAAACTGGGTGAAGATTAATAGTACAAAGAAAACAGTTCGCTATCATCCACCAGAAGTTTTAACTGCTTTGGACCAGTTATCATTGGCAAATGAAGAACTAACTGTCATTTGCCGCTCTGCATGGGATAAGTTTTTGGGGGAATTTGCTAGGCATTATGCAGAGTATCAAGCTGCTATTCAAGCACTTGCTGCTTTAGATTGTTTGCATTCTCTCGCAGTTTTGTCGATAACTAAGGTATGATGTAGTAAGATGACTTACTTTTTAAGTTTGCATTATTGCTCCTCTCTCTTTCCCTTTGTCTTTCATATAGTATTACTTTGACCTTTATGCTCATCTTTTGATATCTGATGGCTCAATTACCTATTTCAGAATTATGTACGTCCAGTTTTTGTGGAAGATAAAGAACCTGTTCAGATGCAGATTGTCTCTGGTCGTCATCCGGTGTGTTGTAAATTATATATGTCTTTGTTTTTTGCATTCCTAGGCTTCTAGTAGTCGGGGGGTAGCATCTTAAGTTTATTATTTTATATTTTTCTGGCTGGATAAAAATTGCTAGACAATATGTTGCCCAAATTATTTCGTGATTTATTGATTTATTTACTCTGTGTGTGTGTGTGGACCTGATGGGGGGGGGGGGGAACTACCCTAGGTTCCCGGAAAATGACATAGGGCTTTAAATACTGTGTTATGAAACAAGGTGATTTCAGGATCAAAACTAGGGATTGAAGTTTTCATCTTATTGTCCACACATTCAGAAAGTAGACAGGTCTGGTGGGTTGGAAGCTTGGGGACCTTGGTGGGTATTAGGTTGGGTGCTATGTTACTCCTGGTATTTGAATTTATTGGAAATTCGTTTGTCTGACAATACTCTTAGCATTGTTGTTTATTTTGTTCCATTGAGTATGTCAGGATATGAACTAAATTTTCTTCGTACATGACATAGTTGGTAATTAATGTGCAGCAAAAAAATTTTAATTTAGGTCACACGCAGTGCTTATAAATGTATGCTAAAGCAAATATTTTAAATCTATGTTGTGCTTCTTTCTTATTAATGGAGCTTTGTAGGTTCTGGAGACTATTCTAGAAGACAATTTTGTCCCAAATGATACTTTCCTTCACGGAGATCAACAGTATTGTCAGATTGTTACCGGACCAAATATGGGTGGCAAGAGTTGCTATATTCGCCAAGTTGCCCTCATTACAATAATGGCCCAGGTACCTATAATCTAGTTCTTCCGCCCCCCCTCCCCCCCCCCCCCCAAAAAAAAAAAAAAAAAAAAAATCGCAACTTGTAAGTTCTTAGTATAAGGCTTTAGGTTAGTAGTCCATTTAATTGGCTACCTCCATTTCTACATCCTCTATCTTAAATATTACTCAGACTTTTGCCTTATGTTTGATTATTTGATGCCTATCCAAGAACTTGATCAGATGGTCTAATGTTAGTTGAGAGCTCCAAGCCATGCTATAGGTTCATTCTTATAATAGCCGGTCCTCTTGAATCTAGTTTCCATTTTCATTGTGTGGATGATATTAAATCTAATCTGGATAATTAATATCCTCCTGATTTCATAACTATGTACCACTCTTACGTCATTATGTTGTCTCACCACTCAGATATCTGTGTTAAACCTTTTGATCTTTGAATATAATGTTAGCATGAAATGATTTTTGGTAAAGACTGAGGTCTCTTGTCAAATGTTTTTAGGTTGGTTCTTTTGTACCAGCGTCCTCTGCTAAACTTCAGGTGCTAGATGCTATTTATACTCGAATGGGTGCTTCGGATAATATTCAGCAAGGAAGGAGCACCTTTCTGGAGGAACTTAGTGAGGCTTCTCACATACTCCACAACTGTACATCGCACTCTCTTGTAATTATGGATGAATTGGGGAGAGGCACAAGTACACATGATGGAGTTGCTATTGCCTATGCTACTCTGCACTATCTTCTGAAGCAGAAGAAATGCATGGTGCTATTTGTCACTCACTACCCTAAAATTGCTGATATTCAGAAAGAATTCCCTGGTGCAGTTGGAGCATACCATGTCTCATATCTGACAACAGGGAGAGATAATTTTAGCCCTTTATCTGGTGAAACTGATGGCAATATGGACCATGAAGATGTTACATACCTCTACAAGCTTGTGTCGGGTATCTCCCAGAGGAGTTTCGGTTTCAAGGTTGCTCAGCTGGCACAGGTCAGGTGTTGTTCATCCTTTCTACACATGCCACTATCTCTAACACCTACCTCAACCCAATCCACCCAACATACACCAGGGAAAAAAAGTAGACTAGGCCTCACTTATTTCAAGAATAAGCGCAACAAAGCTAGATAAAAATGTATTCCTTTGGCGTGAAACTGAAAATGTTTATGTAATTCTTGCAGCTTCCACCATCATGTATTCAGCGAGCAATGGAGATGTCTTCAAAGTTGGAAAAATTGATCCAAAGGAGAACCAGAAATCGTTTACAAGAAACACTGTTGACAGATGGTGCAAGTGATGCATCAGATAATCTATCAGATCTTGCTGATTTGCTGAATAAAAATGACAACAGAGGCATGATCCAATTGGCTGATGCTTATATTAAGTTCTTTCGGAACCTGTGGTTGATCTTGGGAAATAATGACCTTGGAAAGCAACCTGATACTTGGAAGTCTGCTAGGAGTGCTGCAGCTGAGTTGATTGCACGGTAAGCATGAATAAGAGTTATTTCAACCTCCTACCTCTTCAAAAACACCAACACTCGCTAGATAAAGGGATCATGTGAAAACTTATTTTTCGATTACCTTCAAAACTTTTGCTCACTGATAAAAGTAATCAAGAGTGTAAGCATTCTCTGCCTGGAGCTTGGTTTTGTAACGCAAAGCTTTTTGATCAGGCATAACAAGTCTTACTCATCCTCACACCTCAGTCCTGCAGCTTGATTTTGTCCATTATTTTCATTAAATGATAATTTCTCCAGAAGTAAAAAGATGTTCCTATCAAAAGCTGTTTGCCAGAACGATGCTTGTTTAACTGTTAGGTCATAGATAATTCTAATATCTCCCATCATTGAGATGAATGGTGTGCACACCCTGGGCTTTGCTATGGTGATAAGGGACAAACGAGTGAATGTTTCATGACTCATGAGCTAAATTTGAAGCTTGTGCTAGCATGCTTTTTTTTTTTTTTTTTTTTTTTTTTTTTTTAAATGAATGCCCATTATGCTCTGTTTTTTATGGCGTCAGGCTTTGACCAGATGTGCCTTCCTGGCTTTTCCAGTTAGAACATGTTTGGACAATTTGATTAAGTTGATTGTAGTTTAGGCTTTTAGCTCCTTTTCTAGGAAGTCTATGGTAGTATCCAAATTTCAGTTTCTCATAACTTGCAGCTCTTAATAGTTTGAAATCTGTTTTCAGTTTTGCAGGTGATTTATGCTAACACTTTCTTCTACGGCTTGTGGAAGTGGCAAGAATGACAATTCGAAACTACAAAACAAGTAGTTTCTCCAGATTTCCCCCCAGCACTAACCCCTAGTCCCCTATGTATAGAAGTATTTCATGTACAATAATGTAACGATACTAGTGCACATTTTGCAATGTCTTGGGATGCAAGTGTGTTTACTATGATTTGTAACTTGATCAAATCAATTTTGTAAATCTTGTTAGGCTGATTCTTCAGTTGAGAGACGTATGGTCAAGCATATAAAATTACATTTCCCGCTGATTGAGTTTTTTTTTTTTTTTTTTTTTTTTTTTTTTTTTTTTTTTTTTTTTTTATATACAACTTTTCTTATCATCGAGTTGTTGATTTGAGGTGGTTTCTTGAATACTACTGTTCTTATCATCGAGTTGTTAGAACAACTTTAACACAAAAAAGAATTATGGATGTTCTCATCCATTTAAAAAAGGCATATGGATTTACACTCAACGAACATCTGCTATGCATTAAAATGCTTAATAAGAGTACAGAGTACTGCTGGGATATCCCCCATACTCATAGAAGTGTCAAGTCACTCGATTAATAATTACAGGTAGTATATAAAAGATACATGTGTTTTATTAAATAGCAACAATAAATTTATGATAAATTCGGAAATACATCTCCACTCCGCTTGTTACATACAAACCACAAGCAAAGGAATAGGGAGCTCTCAAAGAACCATTTCTTGCAAAGAATACTGCTGCAGCAACTGCAGGATTATTATAAACTTTTGAACAATATAAATAGCAACAAAACATGTACTCTCCACAGTTTGGCTCCAATACAATGAATTAAAATTTTGGAGTGCTCCATGGATACCGAGGCACAAATCCCAAAACAGCAAGACCAAGTCATGGAATGCACAACCAGTTGTCTACAAGTACTCTACACCGAAATTTGATCTCAACCCGCTTCAAGAAGACCAGGCTGATCATTATCAAACTAAATAAGATTGATTGTGAATGATACATATGGATGTGAATCTGCTTCACCTGCCAGCCCGACCATTGCTCCAACTTCTTCCTCAGCTTTCCAGTGAACACTGCAACCATAAGCATAATAAGAAAGAGGGGAAGAATCAGCAAAATTACAAGAAAAGATTTGCCATGCACTTCCTTATCTAGAAAGAATTCTTCGCATTAGAATTTAAAAAAAGGGGGAATATAAAGGCCGTGGTGTGAGGAGGTAAATTTTAGACGAGGGCAGGTTTTTGAGGCATCCACTAAAGGAAAGCATGCCATTGATGTCCTAACCACTATAAGATGCAACACCATATACATTGAAACCATGACAAATTATATAAATCTTATCACATCATTGTCACCCAATATTCATTTTTAGACATTCAATGTTCTCATTTATCATCTTTCAGAAGCCAACACCAGAAACAGATGGTGAGATGCAGTCTGTTGTTGGTTACCTGTTTCCAGCACTACAATGTTTTTCAAGAATTGAGCGTACTTTCTTCTCACTTTTTGTGGATGGAGCCAAAACACAGGCCTGAAAACAAATAACCAAATTCAGTCAAACAAGACCAATCAGATGCAACACAATGAAATTCAAATCAAAGGACTAGGTACCAAGAAGTTTGGTGGCAAGCCATATCTCAATATGCTCTCAGAAAAAACACGTACAGCACAGAAGTGCATCCATGAGCTGAACACCTGTAAAGACACTTCAAGTAAGTTCCTGCAAATAGTTCATTTTACTCACATAATAGTTTCTGTAAATAGAGGGAAATGTCTCAGCAATAGGCTGTAAACAAGCATGAACAGAAAAGCAACATTAATTGTGTTAGTAATTATTATAAATTTATAACAGTATGATGCTTTTACATGGAAGGAAGACTACAGTACATTAAGAAAATAAACAAAGCAATAGTTGTACTCATTGCTTTGGCTTTAGAAGTTGAGTATAATTCAGCATTTACAGTACTTGAGGTTGATGCCATTTAAAGTTCGGATTTTCAGAAGACAGTAACAAAGTAAGCTATCTTTTAGTTTTCCTTCAGTAATTAGGATTTACTATAAATGGCCCTTTTACAATAAGGCGGTACTTTAAATGACCCCCGTTGAGGCGTTAACACACCACAGTAAATAAAAAATTCCAGCAATTATACAATACTCATTTGCACATATGTTTCCCAAAACACTTATGAAAATGTTTTTTGGGGCAAGAATCCACATTTTTTCCTAATGAATTGTGAATGTTTCTGTCCTCATTTTCCATTTCAACACCCAACTCAACTCCCACCCCTGCTTCCTGTTCTTATCTCCCTCTTTTATCAGCATAGCAGGTACAAATTAGAAAGCATTGTAAGACGTGAAATACATAAGACACAAGCATGAGAAACAGAACAACACAATTAGAGCCAGAAAAAAAAGAAAGCTAAATTTTATGGTCTTACGCTGTAAAAACAGATGTTAACATCATTTTAAAAATTGAATTTACCTACCACCCACGACATCCAAAGACTCTCAAAGTCACAGCTTTCTCTCTCTCTCTCTCTCTCTCACCCCCCCCCCCCCCAAAAAAAAAAAAAAAAAAAAGAAAAGAAAATGCACACAGCATAAAGTGTTCTCTTCTCTTTCCCTCACCACTAACAACTTTGTTCCAATAATATAAAGTTGAAGAAAATTGAGGTGGAATTGAAGTGTTGGAGTGAGAATTCCATACCCTAATTGGAGTGTCCAACACAAATACACTAAAATTCACTAACTTTGGTCTCCAAACCAATTAAGATCTGTTCTGATAATTCAAAATTCAGATTTAATTCAACATTTAATTATTGATGAGTAAATTCTGGAAATTCTATCCCTGCCCCGGAGCTATGGGAAAAAAAGGATTTTGGGGGGGGGAGGGAGGAGGAGGAGGGAGTGGGGATCCCATTATCATTCATTATTTATAGGGAGATGGGCAGACTATTACAGAACTTAATATATGAAAATATAACATGAATCCAAAAATTTTGTCACTTGAAATGGAACAGTTTCAAAAGAAAATCTACCTAAGACACAAGTCAGAACAGGTTCTTTATACTCCGTAAGCTATAGACTTAATATTAAGCATTCTCCTGTAGAAAGATTATCCAAAACTCAGAAACTTACCTCCCCATAACTGGAGTAGCACCATTGCAAAAGTGCACTTCTCATTGTTTCCTGGTCACGTGTCAATTTTTCCAACTCTTGCTTCCGTGAATCTTGTGTTTCTTGGTCATGCTCAAAATCTCGAATCTAATTTATTTACGTATAGAAACAATGAGGAAACCTTTCAAAATTTATAATATATTTAAGGAAGGATGCTTATTAAGTCGGACTGCTGGGGGAAATTAAAAATAAAACTCAAGCCTTGACCGATGATTGGAAATATCAATGAAGTTCAAACCAGTAAACCAGGTGATAAAGAAAAGTAGAGGAAAACAAAGAACCTGAAAACCTCTTTCGCGAGCTTTTATTCTGAAGTTATCAGCAACACGGTTAAACAAAGTAACAGTATACAGAGCATATTCATTGTCCTCATACAGCTTTTTGGATGACCTGGGGACCTGAAAGATCATAATATAGATCATGCACCAATCTGCAGATAAGATACTATTTTTGGCATGAGCCACAAAAAAAAAGTTTGCCAAATCCCTTATTAAGACTTGAGAGGACAAAAAATATAAAAGTGCTCCTTACCACATATTCTGTCAATGTCTCGTAGCTTGCTAACCAGTCCTTTTGTGAAAACTTGGAAACAACTGCCAGAAGAGTAACCATATGCTCTGATACAACAATATCCTCCGGCTTTACTAAGCTGGAAAGATCTCTCACCGCTAAGCTGATATGATAAGAAGCTTGTCAGCAGACAACATGACAAGAAAGTCACTAAAGCGAAACAATAGTAAGCTTAACTGGACCTTTACCTTCCACTTTGTTTCCGGTGAATTGCATTAAGTTGGCTGCGCACATTGCTATACTCAGCAACACGGACCTAGCAGAAGTGATATGTTCCAAGTTAATCAATCATTTAATAAAAAAAAATGTCATAGTAAAACTAGTAAAATATATCATTCAATATGTTACAATATGTCAAAGGCTAACATTAAATAGCCATGAAAACTATAGAGATTTATTGTATTCAAAAAGTGTTTCTTATTTAAGTGTAAAACAAACAATTTAGTTCATCAAGTTGTAATATCCCCATCGACACTAGTATCACCAGCAAAATTAAGAGTTTATCCCAGTCTAACCTTATCAGGTTCACGTATACAACAACAAAGCAATATTAGGATCACATATCCATTCACAAAAACCTAATACCAGGTTAATCTAATTAACTACATATGTTGCAGAAGGTTTTACACAAACTAGAAGGTAAAAATGAAGCTGCTTTAATAAAAAATCTGAAATCCATTCAATTCAATTTTGCAACAAATATTAAAAGCTGACAGATTTTAGTCTATTGAAAATTTTCTTTGCAGGTTCAATTTGTTCGAATCTTGCATCTTCTCTTTGGAATGGTCCAATGACAGAATCTGATACAATATTTATTTCAACTGGAGAAATGATCATAGAACCATAGAGTAATTCAAACAACTTATTCTTAAATCATTCCAAATTGAATGATCAGTCTCAAATACTCGAGGGAGGACTAAATGTCCTTTTTGTCGAATTAGACACTAATTATACAGCCATGAGGAAACAGCTTTTTATATTTACAGCTAACCCATCTTTGGCGTGAGGGAAGAGCTTCAGGCCTCTGTAGGAACTCCCATGGGAGGCAGAAAAATCAAGTAACATTTTTTCTCAGGCCAAATAACCTAATAAGAGCTACATAACCCTGAACAAGTTCATTGGTTAAGGTGTTGTAAGCTATCTTAAGCCGAGCATTAGGTAAAGAAAAACTAGTTCTTCAAAGAGTCAAACATCAGTTTTGGAGAAACTATATGTTATGAGTAGAACCTACTGCGGAAGCATACATAGGAAAAAGGAAAGAGAGTTGGGACTTTTTCAGCATAGGTACAAGTACTTGAAATCATTTAAAAGGACGAAACAGCGGAATTCTCGGGCAGAGAAAAAGTTGTAGAGACTTTTTCAAATTTCAAAAAGTCCACCTACAGGATTGCAACAAGCCAACAACTCAATGTTACTACTTCACACTTAACCTGCAGACCTGCTATCAGACCTAAACTTTATGTTCAGCATGTTTTGGTCTGTTCACAAAGAAGCTGATTACAAAGCATAGCATTACAATTCTAGTTACAAAGCGTAGCGCTGCAACCCTAAATTCTTCATATTGCATATCCTAAGTTACAATTCAATTAAGCCACCTTATGGATTGCTACATATCAAATACAAGTACTTCAACAGCTATTAACTTGTTTTCAGACCTAAACTTTATGTGATCATGTTCTTATGAATTCCCAGAGATACTGATCACAAAACAAGCATAAATATCCTACATTTTGCATTAACACCTTAGTTATACTCATACATAAAGCAAAACAAAATAAAGATAAACCTGGTACCTTAAGGTCATCTTCAACCTTAGCCACAAACCTATGAATGCCATCAACAACCTCTTTCAAAGGCGACATAGTCGGATACTTGGCTTCGTCCCACACAAATCTACCACAAGAAATTCAAAACACCAACCAAAATCACAAACAAGACTCTAAATTCATAGCAAAACAGTCAAATTATAGATCCTTCAAATCACCTCACCTAGTAAGATAAGAATCAATTGGAACACCATCAACTGTCAAACCACCACCTTCAACACCCGAAGATCTCTCCAATTCTTCGATCTGACGCCTGATCTTATGCGTCACACCTTCCACAAATGCATTCGCCTTCAAAAATCACCAATCAATCAAATTCAATTCAATTTCACATTGTCGCTAAATTCAATTGCAATCAAACAATCATACCTTCAGAAGATCATCAGCAAGTGATAACAGCGAATCTAGGGTACCAACACGAAGATTAGGCACATTAAACTGCAAAATTGACATCAAACATCAAATTAAAAACCACAAATCTCGTCAAAATTAAACAAAACTCAAGAGAAAAGGAGATTTACATACTCGATAAAGAGGAGTGTCGAAGGATTGTTTGGAGATGGAATCCTGCAATTGAGACCATAAAGTAGAGGCAGATGTTTGTACGGGAAGAGACACCATCCAGTATCTCGTCGCCATTGTTGAAAAAGTCGAGCTTTCTCTCTCTAAGTGTGAGTTTCTCTCTCTAAGTGTGAGTTTCTCTCTCTAAGATGATGGATGTCGTTGTTGAAGGAAGAAGGGAGGAGAGAGAAAGAGAGATCAGTGATGATGATAGGTAGATGACAGAGTGCTGGAAATTCAGGAGATGCCTACACGACAATTTAATTTTACCTATGATCAATCAATAACGTATTAACATAGTTTAATCTAGAAGAGAGTAATTTTAACATAAACTGTTGAAGTACCTTAAAAAATAGAAGCAAAACGCAAAATTTCAGATGTGGCCACGGTTACTCAATCGATCAAGTGTTACTCGATTGATCAGGGGTTACTCGATCAATGTTTTGGTGTGGATTAACTTGCCACATGGTGTGGATGGCCACACACTAAAGTAGCATGGAAACTTTAAGCGGGGCAACGTTAAAGGCGTGCAAGATAAATTCAATAAGCTTTGTTGGGTTGGTAAAGAGAACGGCCCTATCGAGTTGGAACCTCTCACAGGTCAACCTGGCTCGAGTTAGCGAGCTAGACACTTTAAAAGTGAGAGGGAAAGGTAAGAAAATCCGCACTTTTAGATCCTATAGCCTCAAGATCGGGAGATGCAAATCTTACCACTAGACCAAACTTTGCTTGGTAAGATGAATTCAATCACTGCAAGAGTAAATACCTTGGCTCGTTGATAAGGAATCAAGGAGTTATGGGCTCAAAATTGATCATTCTAATACATGTTGATTTTGAGTTCAAATCTTATTGGGGTTTATTGCATTATGAAGCCAAGATTCAATTTTATGTAATTGTACAAGGTCTAGTACATCTAAGAACCCCTCACTGAATGTGCTTAAAGCCATTTAATGGTCCTCCTAACAACTAATCCAATTTTTGCACCTAATTACTCATTGAATAGCATTAGACTAGTAGCCTTATGTTATCTCAGTCTTCTAAAACATGATGATAGATCATAGATGACTAAAATGAGTGGGCGATGCACAGGTTAATTGTTACTGCAAGAAGTGGTGAGAAGAAATTTACAAGGAATATGCCCAAACCACAATTATAATCAGAAGAAGCTAGACTTACCATTGAACAAAGCTCACATTGATACAAATATAGAGCTAAGATAAACAAAGAATACAGTTTAATATACATTCACTATTTCTATATGAATTGGTTTCAAGATAGATCTTCTTTGATGCTGCTCAGGAATTGCCTGAGCTCTTGTGCTTTCCGAGCATGATCAGGTGATATTTCCATGTCCGAGGAGTCACTCAGATCTATAACATTAACTAGTTCTACATTACCCTTACATTTTGACACATAGCGTGTCATTGGTACCGGAGATGGGCTCAACAGATCGATCACATCAGTTTCCATACTAGTTGGATGATCTAATTGGTGATCCATACTAGTATTATTATTTTTGTTTTGAAGCTCAGGATTATTATAATTATTATATTCTTCATCCAAAAATGTGTCAGAAATTGTTAAGTCTTCAATGCTGCTTACTGATGTGGATGAGCTGTTGCATGAGGTTAGTTTGTATCTTGCATTGTCCTCAGAATCAACGTCGATTAGCGGGCTTTTAGTTCTATGATCAACATTTCCAACGACACCCGGCTGGTGGGTTGGAAGTTCCACACACGACCCACCCATTAAGTGGGCTGGATCTGACCCGGCCCACAGGCTACCTCTAGAAGCTACGTCTTCTGACCTCTTTGGTTCACAACTGTTATGATTTGAGGCTGACTTGGATCCAGCATTGTCCTTAGACTCAATGTCGAGTAACAGGCTTTGGAGTTTTGCATCAACTTTAGCCATAGAAGCCGTGTCATCTGATTTATTTGGCCTTGCTTTCCGGCGATTCTGCTTCTTTGTTTGAGCTTTTCTTTCCTCAAATTCTGCAATCTTCTCAGGACAAGCACTGTAGGAGAAATGTGATGGTCATTACTAATTAGGAAAATTGACACCTATAGGACAATCTACCCAGGATTGACTGCTGTTTGCGGCAATAGACATAGAAAATTAAAAGAGAACGAAAAGAAAAGCTAAGGATTAATTACTACCTCCGTACAAGATCAGCTGGTACTACAGAAGTTTTAAGGCCATCAAAATCTTCCCATGAAACTTCAAGGCATTCTTTACCTTGTACTCTTCTAAGCTTGCGAACTTCAGAAATAGGACATTTTACGGGCATCTGTCGATGGGATAGGCAAATTAAAAAATAAATGAATAAATAAAGTTAAAACCAGAAATCTGATTAGTGTTTTCAAGGATTATGACTTTTATCAAAACACACTCACGATCTTTATCATCTTATCGGATTTGTCATGATGCGTATCTTATTAGTCCTCACTGGAGGAGAGGTTGTTACTACTGTCATTTGGTGCAAACCTAGATACTAGAAAGACTGTTGTACATAAAACTCTTCTGGCTAAGCAATGGCTGGCATCAAATAGATCATATCCTGAGGGTGGTGCATTCAAAGGTATAACTGCTAGGGTGCACACTAGAGAGCATGTAAATAAATGGTGCTATTATTAAAATATAGAGATCGTGTTATTGAGCAATATTCCCATATTTATATTGCAATGTAGATCAAAAGAATAACTTTTACAGTGTATCTTAATAAGGCTGGCAACTTTTTCAGTCCAAAGGATAATTTTATCTAAGTGTATTCCAATGCTGAGACGAATCAGAGTTGATCTATCATATTGTCACAAACTCACAATGTATGTAAAAGACTAAATCATGGTCTCTCAATGAATAGTTTCTTACAGAGAGATGAATTTGTAATAAAAATTACCTTTTCCCCCACCACACACTCTTGGCACAAAAGAAAGAATGAGCAACAGATTATTAATATATCAGATAAAAGAACTCTTACTGTGTCCAATGGAAGTGCAGCTCCTAACCGTGAGGAAGACAATCTCAAATTAGCAAATTTCCGCAGTTCCCTTTCAGCAATCCTTGGAAGGATATACTCATCTGAAATAGGTTCAACAAAAGAAGGATAATCTCAAAAATGATTGCATACCAATTATCTTGACATAAAAAGGTAAAAGGTTTCATTTTGAAACTGTAAGATAATACTGAGAAGCTACCAATTAAGAGATAATCATCAGTAAAATTCATCAAACTTTATAAAAGAGTGCAAGGCAAGAGAGCTGTTGGTAACTAGTTAGTAGTTACTACATGATGGATGAAGGACATCACATTTGTTATTGGCCATGTTGTAGGGAATTTTTCACATAGGGTGTCTACACATGTTTTTTTAGAAGGAACCCTAGACTATGAAAAACTAATACTCCCAAGGGTTCCCAGTCTTCCCACAAGGTCATGACAATCTGAGTCAGGAAACCTGACGATCCATGACTGTAGTACAGAGTAGATTTAACCAATTTAGTTGAAAAACAATAGCTTCCAGCCACAACATTCGACATAATGCTTGATTGACGATAATAGACATATTTAAAAACTAAATTTTCAAAAAGCTATAATTTTAGTCATATCATCACTTTGACGGTGATATACTTCTGAAACCTCTCCAATCCTTACTTTGTAACATGTAAATTTTCAATAAATTGTCTCCTCACATTAGTAAAGTTACTAAAGTAGAGTTAGTAGACAACGAAATGTCACATAAATGATATTGCTAAACAGTAAACTTATTCAAGTATCTGCTGAAATAGCAAGAACCTGTTTTCTCAGGAGGCCAGTCAAAGAACTTAGAACAAAGCTCCTGAAGCTCAGCACGTTTAAAAGGATGCACAGCAAGGACCCTGAAACATATGAACAAAATCCCCTGGTAAAAGAAGCAAATATAATGAAAACTTTGCATACAGGTACCCCTAAACTTTGTCTTCAAATATCTCCCCTTAACAAACTACAAATTTAAGAAAAAATGTGATACTTATGCATGATATAGATTACAATTCCATACTTGGATCATTACAAAAAATAGAAACAAAAGAAACAAGATAGCAAAGACATGCAGTATAGGAAGAGTGAGAATATTTTACTTTAGCCTAACAACTGTAAAACCAACCAGACTGACCTAGTGGATAATTAGGAATACAGAAAAACAAAAAACCGTACCACTGAGTCAAAATCAAATAAAAACAGTATCAGGAATATATAGGCATTACCTGTACACAGAATCGGAGTCTGCTAAGTGACACTTTGGATTCATATATGCTTCAATTACTGGCAAAACTTCATAATCTTTTTTTAGAGGGAGCTGATCTCCTGAAGGAAAATGACGAGATAGCTATTCAAAGATTTCTCATAGATATACTGGTCCACAACTTACTTATTATGGAAACCAACACAATGTGTGTCAAAATTTTAACTTTGAAACACACCCACATCAAAAGTCCCAATAAAAAATGAATGACAAATCATGCAGCTGAAAGTAAGTTTGTCCGCTTGCATTTTGCACATTAAATTATAAATGAAGGGACAAGCATTAAATAACTAAATGACCTGAGAAAAGAGGAAAAATTATAAAGAAAGTCTAGTTTTATCATGGAAAAACATCATGAAATTGAGAGATTTTCTCAATGAAGTACATGCCATTAACCATTATAGCTATACTAACTATGCTTGTGTAAGACTGTAACCATCCCCTCCCCATAAATAAGAAAAATCCTCAACTAAGTAATAGCTATAGCCAGTTTTCCACCCATACCTTTTTGCAAGTATGTCACCTTCCCCAGGACACCACCACCAACACCCGGAAAAAAAAAAAAAAAAAAAAAAAAAAAAAAAAAAAAAAGACTCCAAATATGGAAAGCACTATCTGTAATCCAGGATTTATGTCTATCACTGTTTTATACACTACTCCCATTTGCAAATATACTTATATACTTTTTCTACAAGCACTAACCTTTCTACTAAGTTTCAGGCTATACAGTGAGTGTGTGCATCTTCTTGCTATATACTTGGCAATCCAGAACAGGTGCATAAAGTATGCAATGGTTAACTTTTAAATGTCAATTTGACCTACCAGTAGCTTTTATTTGGGGATCTGGAAAGTTCTCTTTCCCACGGCGCTCAGATATTTTCCCTTGTTTCTTTGAGGTTTTTAACGATGTCAAGTAAGATATACCCTCTGAAGTAATACGTTGAAGAACAACATCTTCGTTAA